CTGAAGTTGCAAAATATCTCAATATAATAGAGCCCTGTGATTTCCGCGATGCAGAAAACAGACGAAATACAGTCATAAAAACGGAATTTACTGTATAAAGCGGAATATCATGGAATTTGTCAACTTTTTGACTAATTAATAAAAAGCAGGTCAGTACAAATCAAATCGAATTTCAAACCGCAAAAAGACTAGCTGCTATTTAAATATGAATCCTCGCAGACGCGTGATTGGTGATTTCATTTACCACACACTGGAGCACGCGTGACGCTTGCGCTGGTTTCAGCCTCAGCCGCATCATTGTATGAGGACATGATTGCATAAACAACATCTCCAGAGTCGCTAAGTCACTTCATGAGCTTTTTAATGCTTCAACTGAGAAAAGTTATCGTCATATCATATCATAAACACACAGAAACTCAAAGATCTCCACGGTAACCCGTCAAAATAAAAGTTCGGTTTTTCATAGGGCCCTAAAAATGTAATTTTTGTTAAACTGTAAATAAATTGAATGAGTTTGATGATTTCAATTAATTAGAAATGCTTTTTGATTCCTAAAATTTAATTTAAACATTAAAATAGAGTCTTTAAGTTTTACAAAATGTTTACAGAATGCTGCTGGGTGCTCCCTGCACTTTTTAAGTTATTATAATTATTATTATTAATAACAGTTCTCAGATTCAAAGATATATTTAAAATCATTTAAAGAAAGTATTTGTCAAAACCCTTTGTTAGTCTTAATTTTGACATTAATTTACATTTTTACACCAGACATATATCGGTTCAAAATATCGGTTATCGGTCTATTTGATCTGTAATAATCGGTATCGGCCCCGAAAATCACATATCGGTCGACCCCTAACCACACGTCCTCATTTCCTGTCAAGGATTTGTATTGTAACTTGTAGTAGCCATAATTAAACTTTTTTTTTCTTAAAAGAAATTTGTTAGTACATAGTTAATGCATCTTGCACTGTTATTTCTTTATATCATATTTTCGACAATGTTTTAATTAAGTTTAAAAAACATTTTCATCTTGCTTTCATTATATTGATAAAATTATATCAATATAATCAATTTATCAATATATTGATAAAAAAACTCAATTTAATCAGTTATTTTGTGGATGACATTAACACCGCACTTAAGCAACATTTTCCAGTTTAAACATTTCCACAAGGCCAAACCACAATTTTGATTTTAATTTGATTAATTTCACAGTCCAACACAATAAATCTTACATTTCATGAATTAGAATTTTTATTGTATTAAACAGTAAACAAACTTCTAAATAGTACTGTTACTCACTCTGTTTCTTTCTTTGCCAAAATATCTGAATTTCATTCCTCTGGAACAGCTTTCCTTTCTTTTTGGCTTTGGCTGCAGATGCCTGAAGGCAAGAAAGAGTTCACTTAATTAAACCACAAACACATTCATTAAATATAACTGCTTTTCTGGCAATGAGAATTTTGTATCATGTATTTAACTAGTCACGCTCACATGATCATGGAAATGCACAATGGCCAGATGTTTCTGAGGCCTGCAATACACCTTAAGCACTTTCCCAAAGTGCCCAAAATGCTCTGTGACGAGTTCCTTCCTGTTGAGTTTGGGTGGTATGCCTTTGCACTGTATAACAGTGGCATCGGTAGGAGAGAGACCAGCCAAACTGCCTGTGCTATCCTTTCGAGCAGCACGTCTACCTGGAGTGTGTGTCTGTGATTCAGGCTTGAGCGCTACAAAGACAAGTGATCACAACAATGTTAGCAAGAAAAAATATTTCAAAATAGTTTAGTATAAAAATTAAGGATGCATTATTATATCGGTACTGTATCGGCCCTTTTTTATTTTTTTATCAGCATCAGACGATATAGGATATTTAATTGTTTTACATTTAGATCTATATTATATAAATGTAAAAATTATTTTTTAAATGTAATCTCTAAATTAATATCCATTTTCCATACTGTACATTATGTTGTTGTGATGTCTAAATTTAAGTTTTTAGTGTTTTTTATTTTGTCAGACTAAATAGTACAACATTTAATATCCGCCAATAAAATAAAAATAATTAGCACCTCATATAGAATTTTAATTCTGTGTGTGAACCTTAAAAAAACATCACAAGAAAAGAAATGTATCTTACAAACTTCCTCTGCTTTTTTCAAAACTGTTGGAGCCTGAGATCTCAGAGGTGTAGTGGCCACATCATCAGCTGGACCAGGAGGATCTGGTCTTTCTGGAGGATGATCTTCTCTCTTGACTGGGCTGACTTTGGATCTCAGTAGCTCAGACATCGCACTGCGAAAAAGCCCTGCAGCTGGGCCACGGCTTCTCAGCAGTGGCCGTTTAGCGGGTTGTCTTAAGCCGTCTGCTCCAATTTCTCTATCACTTTTAGCTGGATTTGGGTCTACCGTCTCCTCTTTACGTTTTATGCCGAAACTCACAAAAGCTGTTTCTCCTCCACTGTTCTGCAAATCTCCTGCTCTATCCTCCATTCTTTGTGGGGCTTCAGTTTTTGTGACCCCAAATCCAAAGGATCCAATGCCAGTACCACCAAACGCAGGTACTTTGGTATCTGACTGTGGCTGAAGGGTCTGCGGTGTGAAGCTGAAGGTGGAGGGAGTCGTGGGCTGTGAAACAGGCGTACTACTGCTGGAAGGGTTGGCAGGTTGAGAGAAGGTGAACTGAATGCTGCTGCCAACACTGAGCGTCTCTTTTTGTAAAAAATTAGCATTAGAACGTGAGACAGAAGGAGCTGCTGCTGGCTGTGAGAAGCTGAAGCCCAGAGCGCTTGGCTTTACGCATGAGAACAACGAACCACCAGAGGAATTGCCCATAGTACTAGTTACGGCCTTGGATGATCCAATAGTTTCAGAGGCTGAAGACAGATTTGAACTGGGAGGTTCTGGGCTGACGCTGAAAATAGGTTTGAAAACAGATTCATTGGGCGGCTTGAAAGTAAACTGGTTCCCACTAGGGGGATTATCAGTCCTACCCCCTATAGAGGAGCTTGAGGGGGATGTTGCGGTGGGTCCGGAGAGGGCAGAAAGCTGACCGAAACTGGGCTGGTTGGTAACAGTGCTGCTGAAGCTGGTCGACGATTGGGAGACACTTGAGGATAGACCAAACGCAGAAGGCTGACCGAAAGCTGAGCTCTGATCAAAAGCAGACATCGGATTCTGTCCTGTAGCTTGAGCATATGATGGCGGTGGTTGTCCATATCCAAGCGTGCTTTGACCCAAACTCGGCTGTCCAAAGGCTGGGGCTGTTCCCAAAAAGGAATATGACGGCTGCACCGATCCTTGAGATAACCCACCGCCCTGGCCAAAAGTAGGTGTTTGGCCGAAGACAGATGGCTGTTGTGTTGACTGGCCAAAAGCTGGCTGACTAAAAGCTGAGGGTTGTCCAAAGCCAACACCCTGTGCTGGGTTCTGCTGGGCAAAGGACTGAAATAGGTTTCCAGACTGATTAGTGTTGTTCGATGCCTGAAAGGCAGTTTGTGGTTGACCAAAGATGTTTGGATTCATGATGGATGAAGCAGGAACAGCAACTGTTAAGATTTACTGATGTGATCCTGAGCAAATCGCCTGCTGGTCATGACCAACGTAACGTAACGTTACTCTGAATCCTGTAAAACAAAGAGAGAAAACAGTTACCTGTGGCTTAGTTGATTTAAACCCAAATATAGAACGTATTTAACAGAAATATCTGTATAATGTGCAAACCGTGTTAAGAGCTCAAAGAAGAAAAATAAACCCGTGTGTTTTTCTCTGAATACTGAGCACGTTTTACCTTTGCAAACTCACAAAATGAACTAAAGTATTAATAATATTTGTATGCATTTCATATCTCTACACTATATATATAAAAATTAAACCCACTCAAATCGAAAAGGAATAATATTATCTGCAAATACTTTAGCGCTGTTCGTGTTCTCGTCGCACTCGGCCAGGATGTTTATTTCTCTTCTTCGTGAACAGACACGTCGATCCAACGATAGTCTAGGCGATTGCGGCCTCTACAGGCAGGCAAGAGCATGACACCATTGGATGAAGAGAGAAGTAGGCTACTACAGGTGGGTGAATGGGCTGAAAATAACGAACATATTGTAGAAATCCACAAAAAATAAATCACCAAATATGCACAAATGTGAAATAGACTTTATGTCACAACTTTAGGCCTACCTTTAACAAGAAGTCAAAGTCCCTAGTCAAAAATTATACAGAAATGCTATTAGGATGATTGCTATCATAATTTGGAATCAACATCATTTGCTGTAATAAGCATGTCTTGCCCCCGTTTTGAAACATAGAAGCCCCCACAGTCCACACTACATGGTTTAGCAGCAATACAACATTGTAAAACATAGCCCCATTAAGTTATGCGAACTTACAACTTTTCTTTCACTCCAATTGTTATGATAGGTTTTTGTATTTGGATAAATCAAGTTTATAATTTTTAAAGAAACAATTTCTTGACCACTTTTGAGTTTTATCTGGATGCATAAAAAACTAAATCTGAAATTAAGATTGCATTTTTTTAATGTAAGGAATAATTGACGATGGACCGTTGAATTATTAGAAAAATAATGCACACCCTGTGTTAATATAAATATGTGTGTATATATATATATACACACACAGTAGTCGACATTTGAAGTGGATCAAAAAAATTAATCAAAGTTGCCTTAAGACAAGACCGGGTATTGTTCAGAATTCATTTATAACTTTGATGAAAGGTTTTAATTTTAATTTCTTTCAGTTGAAAGCCCCCTCCCTCCCTTCCTTTATATCTATCACAGTGATATATTATAAATATTCATAAATCCTCTTACACTAATACTGAACAATAATAAAACAAATATATTTTGGATTCATTAAAAAGTTTCATTTATTTCTTAATTCAAGTTCATAAAAGACATACATATATATCAGCATAATGAAATACAATGGAACAATTTAATGGCAAAAGCTATATAAAATAGGATGGGAAAAAAAATGTTCATAGTGTAATACAGGCTCATTTATATTGCATATTCCAAAGCACAACAGAATCATTATCAAATGAAGATATTAAGTTCACATATTCACATGATTCACTTCAGCTGATAATTTTCAAATGTACACATGCAGCTTATGTCTTGCTGAGACAGTGGTCTTCTTTAGCTATGCTTCAGAATGTATCTTTGGTCTCTCCACAAAGTGGAGGTTAACCTTTCTGTCTGGCGCAAGCACTGTGCGATTGAGTGACTGAACCTCACCTACAGTTGGGTCCGGTCTGATTTCAAACAACTTGATTAGCTGGAATGAAAAGATGCAATCAAAAAGCACAATTAATAAATGTAATAGAACTGTCTGGCACAAAATCAAAAATAAATATGTCTGTTCCCTTTCAAAAGCTACTCTCAATGCTGCGCTTAGCAGTGGGAACACGTCTTCATGTGAATTATGTGTGTAAACACGGCAAAGAATTTGGCTTTGAACTTGTTGGCTTCTGACAGTGATGTCACTGGAGTGTGTACTCGTCAGAGGCTATAATTAGATGTGATGCAGGTGCACCTTCAGTTTTCTTTGTTTTCAGAGCCATAGTGTGTGTGTGTGTGATTCAAGCTCTCTGCCTATCTTCTGTTGAAATTACTGCGCAGTCTTTTCTTCAATTCAAAAGGATTATGAGCGTCATACAGAGTAAGTTTTGTGTGCCTCCGTGTTCACAGCCCATGCCTGAACTCGACACACATTAGTTCTGCTTTGTTTGTCTAGGGGAAGAGCATGCTGCCCGTGCATTGGACCAGTGTGATTGCAAGCACTGTGAGTTGTTAACAGTTAAAGTGCTTCGCGTTCGCCTTACTTACTTTCAAGGGCCAGCACCTACATTGAGATCATGGGGCTCGCATGTTGATCTGGGTGAGGGGCGAGAGACGGGTCTGTCTTTATCGCTCTCTCTCTCTCTCCAGATCACGATGTCCTTCTGCCTGACTCCGAAGCGTGCGGCGGTTTCTCTTCGGCTCGGGTGGAGGACAGTTCTTCTCTTGTTTCTTGTGATATGGATCTTGAGTTCACCACTTCCGAGCATACCTCGCGTGATGACAAAGAGCAAGAAGAGCTACTCGAGGTGGTGACTTGCACCGTGGCCAGGTTACAGCTGGATTGGCAACAGGAAGAAGATCTCCCCAGACGCTCTAAATTAGAGGACAGATTTCTGTGCGGTGGCCAGGAGGAAGGGTTTCAAAAACAATCTCAACCCTTCTTCAAGGACCTCCATGACGAGATCTCTCGCTCATGGGGGAAACCTTACACATTGCGCGCCTTCGACGTCGACATATTCGACTATCGTGGGTGCGGTCTAGATCTTTGTGGCTTGAAACTTTTTCTCAGAAATATCAAGTTCAAGATGCTAACTATCTATAAATAACTAACTATTGGTTCGTCACAATCGATCTCAAGGACGCATACTTTCACATAGAAATTCTGCCACAACACAGGAAGTGTTGTCCTGAGGTTTGCTTTCGGGGGCGAAGCTTACCAATATCAGGTTCTTTCTTTCGGCCTAGCCTTGTCACCCCGCACATACACGAAATGCATGGATGCAGCTCTGGCTTCGCTGTGACTCCAGGGTATCCGCATTTTAAATTACATAGACGATTGACCGATACTGGCCCAATCTAAAGAGCGTGCTTTAACATCAAGATGTCGTCCTCGCTCATCTGCCCTCTCTAGGTCTGAGACTCAATGCAAAGAAGAGACATATGGGATTTGGTCACCATGTGGGCACAGCTGTCTTCCGCTTATGTCGAGACCATTTCGGACACCCTAGGAAATATCAGGCAAGGTCAGAATATGAATTTTCGTCTGTTCCAGGGGATTTTAGGTATCATGGCATCTGCGTGCACGCTGATCCCTATGGGCCTTTTGCACATGAGGCCACTTCAGTTGTGTCTCAAAGCCAAGGGGTTATATCCAAGGGTCAACACCCAGAGGCATATAAGGGCTTTGTGCTGTGGGCTACGTACCTGAGAGGTCATCTTCTCGATTGGCACATTAATTGCCTTGAAATGATGGCTCTGTTTCTGGCTCTAAAGTACTTCCTCCAGAAGCTAAGAGGCTACCATGTACTAGTGCAGGTGGACAACACTACAGTAGTCTCCAACATATATCGCCAGGGCGGCCTGCATTCGTACCATCTGAACAAGCTAGCGCAACAGGTTCTGCTTTGGGCTCAGGACAAGTTCTTGTCTCTCAAGGCGATTACATTCCAGGATAATTGAATGTGGGAACAGACTTACTGTCCAGACAGACATTTCCGAATGGGGAGTGGAAACTCCACCCCGAGGTAGTGAAACAAATTTGGGAAAGATTCTACAAAGCAGAGGTGGACCTCTTCGCCTCTCAAGGGACAGTCCAATGTCCCCTCTACTTCTGGGTCTGGACACTATGGCACATAAATGGCCCAGAATGCGCCTGTATGCTTTTCCCACGATTGCGCTGCTCCCGGGAGTTCTAACAAAGTTTGCCTCTTACTGATAGCGCTGCGTTGGCCAAACCAAGTTTGGTTCTCAGAGATAACATCCCTCCTTGACGGCTTGCCCTGGGCAACACCGAACAGGAGGGACCTTCTGTCGCAAGGACAGGGGACAATATTTCATCCCCGGCCCGAGTTGTGGAACCTTCATGTGGGTACCACCCCTGAAGGGTACCAGCTGAGGGACACTGGGCTTTCGGACGAAGTTATTGAGACCATTCTTAGTGCTAGGACTTCCTCCACGAGAAGGATATATGCCACTAAATGGGGTGTTCGTTGAGTGGTAGTGTACTGTACATCACGTGGACCCAGTCCACTGCCAAGTTGCTTCAGTGCTGGAGTTTCTGCAGGAGAAATTATTAGCAGACACATGCCCCGCCACTCTCAGGGTGTATGTGGCCGCCATATCGGCTTGCTACGCCCTGGTTGATGGGGTATCAGTCGGGAAACACCCTCTGATCGCCGGCTTCATTCGAAGTGCCAGGCGACTGAGGCCGCCCATTAGAATCAAAGTTCCCTCATGGGACCTAGCTATAGTCCTTGAGGGACTGATTGAGAATACCTTTGAACCTCTAGAGTAAGCGCCTGACAAGCTTCTGATCCTAAAAAATTGTTGTCTGATGGCATTCGCTTCACTAAAGAGAATTGGAGATTTGCAAGCTCTGTCGACCTCACCATCTTGCTTAGACTTTGACCCAGGAATGGTGAAAATTATCTGGCATCCTCATCCTGACTACCTGCCTAAGGTTCCATTCTCCCTCCACCGTTTACAACGCAGGAGCAGGAGTGTGACGTCCCTGTCGGCCGTTCCTTGTTTTGTGTGTGTGTGTTGCATCTGTCTTGTTTGCAGGTGACTGGCTGATTGCGGCGTGATTAGGAGCACCGGCGCGCAGGTGTTCTTCGTTCCTTACAAAAGCTGCCTGTTTCCTGTCGGCAAGAGTCTGCTCTGGGGCTGCGTTGGACTTTGTAGCAGTTTCTTGTCCTTCGCGTCGATAGCTGTGGCTTTAGATGGTCGATTCTCGGCTCATTTTGAGGAAGAATGTAAAATAAAGCTCAGATAATTTGCAATGTAAAGGTATTCATCTCTCCTTATTTGTAGTGATCCTTCTGGATCGCAACAAGGAGAAACTTCACCGACTTTGTCCAGTCCATGCTCTTCAGTCTTACGTCCACCACACTAGCCAATGGAGCAAGTCAGAGTTTGTACACTTAATTAACTGATTGTCACACGAAGAAGTATTCCCATAGAGATAAGCGCAGCATCTTGTTCCCGCTTTTTCAGGGAACAGGGTTACAGCTAAGTAACCCGAGACGTTTCTCTTACCCTTGCCAAAGCCAGATGCATCTCCAATTCAGCAATGCGACGGCCAACACATCCTCTGACTCCAAAGCCAAATGGGATTGACCCAAATGGGTTGGGTCTTGTTCTGCCATCTCGGAGCCAGCGGTCAGGTTTGAACTTCCGTGGTTCTGGAAAGACTTTCTCATCACGGCTGATTGCATAGTGGCACAGAGTGAATGTTGTCTGTTTAAAAAAAACAGCTGATTTAGTGATGTCAATTTCTAAACTGGCAACTCTTCTTTTCTTCCTAACAACATGTGAAGAATTTACCTTTTTTGGGAAAAAGTGTCCACCAATGACAACATCATTTTCTGCAATAAGACGAGAATTCATGGGCACCACAGGATACATCCTGCACAGTAGATTACATGTGCAAAGAGATTATAATATGCAAATATACACTCACCTAAAGGATTATTAGGAACACCTGTTCAATTTCTCATTAATGCAATTATCTAATCAACCAATCACATGGCAGTTGCTTCAATGCATTTAGGGGTGTGGTCCTGGTCAAGACAATCTCCTGAACTCCAAACTGAATGTCAGAATGGGAAAGAAAGGTGATTTAAGCAATTTTGAGCGTGGCATGGTTGTTGGTGCCAGACGGGCCGGTCTGAGTATTTCACAATCTGCTCAGTTACTGGGATTTTCACGCACAACCATTTTTAGGGTTTACAAAGAATGGTGTGAAAAAGGAAAAACATCCAGTATGCGGCAGTCCTGTGGGCGAAAATGCCTTGTTGATGCTAGAGGTCAGAGGAGAATGGGCCGACTGATTCAAGCTGATAGAAGAGCAACTTTGACTGAAATAACCACTCGTTACAACCGAGGTATGCAGCACAGCATTTGTGAAGCCACAACACGCACAACCTTGAGGCGGATGGGCTACAACAGCAGAAGACCCCACCGGGTACCACTCATCTCCACTACAAATAGGAAAAAGAGGCTACAATTTGCAAGAGCTCACCAAAATTGAACAGTTGAAGACTGGAAAAATGTTGCCTGGTCTGATGAGTCTCGATTTCTGTTGAGATATTCAGATGGTAGAGTCAGAATTTGGCGTAAACAGAATGAGAACATGGATCCATCATGCCTTGTTACTACTGTGCAGGCTGGTGGTGGTGGTGTAATGGTGTGGGGGATGTTTTCTTGGCACACTTTAGGCCCCTTAGTGCCAATTGGGCATAGTTTAAATGCCACGGCCTACCTGAGCATTGTTTCTGACCATGTCCATCCCTTTATGGCCACCATGTACCCATCCTCTGATGGCTACTTCCAGCAGGATAATACACCATGTCACAAAGCTCGAATCATTTCAAATTGGTTTCTTGAACATGACAATGAGTTCACTGTACTAAAATGGCCCCCACAGTCACCAGATCTCAACCCAATAGAGCATCTTTGGGATGTGGTGGAACGGGAGCTTCGTGCCCTGGATGTGCATCCCACAAATCTCCATCAACTGCAAGATGCTATCCTATCAATATGGGCCAACATTTCTAAAGAATGCTTTCAGCACCTTGTTGAATCAATGCCACGTAGAATTAAGGCAGTTCTGAAGGCGAAAGGGGGTCAAACACAGTATTAGTATGGTGTTCCTAATAATTCTTTAGGTGAGTGTATATCCAGAATTTGCTGTTTGGTTGGCCACTGTCAGATTTTAATTTGGCTTCTCAAATACGATGTATGTTACACAACATAATCCTCCACCTTAGTGTTTCCTTGATGACAGCTTTGAGGTAAGGCATGTTGTTCACTTCCTGTGCTGTTGGGACTCTGTCGCCCTTTAAGACTCTGGTTACATCCTGATACAGAGCCTCTTGAGCTTCTGGATCTCTTGAGAGGAGATACAGTGCCCACAACATGGTGTTGGAGGTCTAGAACGCGAAAAGAAACAAAGCCTTATGTTCTATCATTTTAAAACTCTTATATATTTTGTTTTAATAGTCAAAGATAGAGTACTTTTTTCTTACTGTGTCCACTCCAGCCAACAGAAGCTCAGAAATGCTTCCATAAACATCTTTACTGCTCATTTTAACATTGGAAAGCAGATAGGTGAGATACTCCCCAGCAACCTCCTGATTTGCATCCACGCGCCTCTGAATGGCCTCCATCTTCATGTCAATCATCTTTCCGGCTGTGCATAATCCACAAGTACAATACATCATCACACTGCACAACATGTCTGTATCTCTTGTAGTTTATCTGAAAAAGATGTGTGAACTAACAAGCTCACCGAATTTGAATATTCCCTCCCAGCCATTGAGGTACCACTGCCAAAATGGCAAGTAACTGCGAGTCCAGTTGGGCAGCACCACCACAGGCATGCTGTAGGTGAACATTTGTGCAATAGAATTAATGAAATCCTGTGTCTCTGCAGGAATCTCTTTCTCCAGGCAGCCAATGCGCGTCTCAAAAAGAATGGATGAGATTCCTATATGAGAAAAGCAACAGGCAGAATATTCACAATTATTGTGGGCAAATGGAAAACATTATGCTATTAGTTGGCACCCATGATAAATTGGCATGCACATTAATTGCAATGATAATATAAAGACTATAATTTGATTCGTAAAATGGATGACTTTAAAACTTTGTTGTGAAACATCTGCTCACTGTGCAGCACCCAATGCAGATCGCTGTTACTGTTGCATGACAACATTATATCAGGGATCTTATAGCAGAAGGATGTCACTTAATTAACTTTCTCAATAAAATAACTTAATAAAATACCTTAATACTTAAAACTATTTGATTAAGTTTGAATTATAAATAAAGTCATGGATAAAGGGATCTGCTTCTACACTATTGTTCAAAAGTTTGGGGTCAGTAAGATTTTTTTTTTAAATTAATACCTTTATTCAGCAAAGACGACACATTAATTTAAAATAGATAAAGGGCGTTCTTTTGAACTTACTATTCACTGAAGAATTTTTTTTATCAAAGTTTCACAAAAATATTAAGCAACTATGATAATTCAACATTGATAATAATAAGTTTTTTTTCTTGAGCACTAAATCAGCATATTATAATGATTTCTGAAGGATCATGTGACACTGAAGACTGGAGTAATGGATGCTGAAAATTCAGCTTTGTTATCACAGAAATAAATTACATTTTAAAATATATTAAAATACAAAACAGTTTTCTTTTAAATTACATTACCAATTGTGACAATATTTCACAATATTACTGCTTTTTACAGTACTGTTTTTGATCTAGTAAGATCTTGCCGCACCTAAACTTTTGGTAGTGCAACTTAAATGACTTAATTTGACAAGTAAAAATTACAGGTTATTATTTAGTATTATTTATTAATACTAAATACAGGTTATTATTTAGTAATTTACCATATTTGCTAAAATATATTATGTGGGGAAAAATGTCTACAAATGTTGCATTTTTCAAGCAATTATGTTGCATTTTTTAAGAATTACTTCATTTTGTCCTTTGTGGTGAAATGTTTAATGTTGCATAATTAGGTCTTGCATGATGTAGTGTCAGGTGGTTGGTTCCTAATTACCGTTAATTGTGACAAGCCAGTTGTGTCTTCTATTGTCTGATTTTACAATAAGGTTTCATTTGTTAACATTAGTTCATTACATTAGTTAATATGAACTAACAATGAGCAACACTTTTACAGTATTTTTTACATTGACCATTATATTATTAAAATCAAAAGTTGTAAATGTTCATATTATGTATTTTATTATTTTATTATGTATAAAATGTATTTTTATTAACATTATCAAAGGTTAGTAGGTGCTGTAAAAAATATATTGCTCATATAGTTCATGTTTACTAAGGTATTAGCTAAATGTTAACAAATGAGACCTTATTGTAAAGTGTTACCGATTTTATCTAATTTCAAGTGCTTATGGAGGGGAAATACCTTCAAGGGAAAACCGGTAAAGCTCATTGGTCAAGTTAGGTACAAGATCACCAGTGGGGCTCATTTCCCGCAGATAGTAAATCCGTTTGATGAAGTCTTTGACCACCGCATTGACCACATCTCCATACTGAACCGAGTCCTTTGGATGCAGCATGCGTTTGTTCAGCACTGACCGCAGTTTGTACCATTTCTCTCCTTCTCTGTTGAAGAACATATTCTCTTTTCAGAACAGCAACAAAAAAACAACATAACCTGATAAGTTTACACAACATCACACCGCTACATTAGCCCAATGCACTTTGACCTCATAAAATCTCATGACATGACTAGTCTTACATAATGTAGAAGTTCCAAAACATGTTAAGGATAAAGAAACCAATGCCAATGTGTTTTTACTCTGTGAAAGGGCCGTAGCCGATGCCCCTCATGTCACGGTACTCTGTCCACAGAGTCATGTCTCCTCTGCAAGGAAACTTCTCATCTTTTCTAAGGAGTTCCTCCAGTAAGTCCACACTGTTTATTGAAATGGATTGGAAGTTTCCAGCGTTCACTTTGTACAAGGGACCATAAAGCTGTTTTTCGTATAACTGGAGAGATGAAAAACAAGAGGTGAAGAACAAACAAGTAAAAAAGTTAAGAAAAAAATTCTTGTTAATTTTGAGATAAATTGCAATGCACCTCCAAATTGGTTCAGAGCAAAAAATAAACAAAAATTATACTGAATTATTTAAAAGTGTTCAATTATACAGTTGTTTCCTATCTATTCAGTGTCTTTAAAGGCAAAACATTGACATTCTTGAGTACATAAAAGGTGGCAGAAATCATTTAAACAGTCCTGCAGTTACAGTCACATGATAAATAAACTACGGCTGTGTTTTCTTTCTTTACCTGTAGCTCATGCATGCGATTCAGGTACCGTTTAAAGATCAGTCTGTACAACATCCTAGATGTGTTGATCTCTGGGAGGTCAGCCACAGTCTTGAGCTTCCCGTGGCTGTCCTGGACAGTGACAGAAGCAACAGCATTACCCACTGCCCCTCTCCTGATGTCCGTGGTTGTTGTTGTGGGCCTCAGAAAACCAAATCCAATCCTTCTTTCTGCAGAGCTCAATGCAAAACGAACAGCCATTATGGAAGCAGGGAGAAGAGTGAGGGAAACACTGATCCTCTTTCACACGGGAGGGAGAGGGAGGTGGGGCAAAAGCCTCTCTAGTTAACCCTTCAATATCTGTTGTAATGTAATATTGTGAGCAGGTTTGTTTCGAAATCTGAAACACCATTCTCGTACAAATAATGATATTTCACCTCTGGAGATAATCGAACTTTACTTCACTCAAAAACATCATTATTTACTCACCCTCATCTCATGTTAAAACCTTCATCTTTCCTCTTTGGAACACAAAAGCTGCTCTTTTTCATACAATGAAAGTGAATGATGACCACAGCTGCCCCTGGTCCTCAGAAAACAGAAGTGTGAACATTCTGCTAAAGTTCTTCTTTTCCATTACACCACAGGAATGAGGTCAAACAGGTTTGGAATGACATGAGGGTAAGGAAACGGTGACAGTTTTCATTGCGAACTATCCCTCTAACATTAACCTCTGCTCTTGTAGTGAACCAACACAAACAACAGGTTTTTAACCTTTTCAAAAAAACATACCCGTGTTTACAACGGCTCTTATTCCTGAAAGAAATTTGCTGAATGCTTAGTACATTTTTTTCTTTCGATCACCTAAAAGATTAGATAACATATATAATATTGATGTTATGTGCAAAAAAATACTAATAACTTAGTTTACATCACAATTAGTGCATCATGTCATCTGTTGTTGTATAACATTAACAATAACAAAGTCAAATACACAAATTTTTCACAAGTGGGATTTTATTATTCCAATGTGAGAAGAGTCTTTATGTAAATTTCAGTGTAAATTATGGTGTAAATTTCAAAGAATGATTCAACCACACTGTTTATCACTTGCCTGTTGCTCAGTTTGTATCATTCAAAAGTCAGTATTGTCTCTGTAGGTCTTCACTGCTTGATCTCTGCAATGTTTTTGATGGAGCCAGCCGGGTCTGTCTTGTAGAGCATGAAGTGTCCTTGTACCTGAGCGGCGCTGAGGTCTGTTTGTGCTGCCAGCGCCTGCTCGGCGAACCTCTCAGCCTCGGCCGCAGACTCCTGAGGGTAAAACCTCCGGAACATCTGAGTCAGCTGCCAGTGAGAACAGGGGCCCACGTACTGCTTCAGATCAACACGGCCAGGTCGGACAAGAGCCAGATCAAGTCTTCAGCACAGAAGGGAAAAAAGAGAAATGGGAGAAAGGAAACAACACCATGTCACCAATACCAAGAAAAACACACTGTTCACGGTTACAGGTGTTCATGACTACTGGGTACGTCATTCGTTTCTCTTTAAATTGATTTTTGTGTGCAATTTTTAAATGTATATATATATATATATATTATAAAGATTGCACACAAAAATAAATTTAAAGAGAAACTATAGCATTATATTGATGATTGAATATTAACACAATATATTAAGTGTAATATATATATATTTAAAATAGGGCTGTCAAATGATTAATCACGATTAATCACATCCAAAATAAAAGTTTTTTTTACATAATATATGTGGGTGCACTGTGTATAATTATTTTGTATATATATAAATACACACACATGCATGTATATTTTAGGAAAAAATATTATTTATATATAACATATTTATATTTATATATAATATAAATTATATATAAATCTACACTCACCGGCCACTTTATTAGGTACACCTGTCCAACTGCTCGTTAACACTTAATTTCTAAGCAGCCAATCACATGGCGGCAACTCAGTGCATTGACCATCTCAACCATCTCTAGGGTTTACAGAGAATGGTCCGAAAAAGAAAAAACATCCAGTGAGCGGCAGTTCTGTGGGCGGAAATGCCTTGTTGATGCCAGAGGTCAGAGGAGAATGGCCAGACTGGTTCGAGCTGATAGAAGGGCAACAGTGACTGAAATAACCACTCGTTACAACCGAGGTATGCAGCAAAGCATTTGTGAAGCCACAACACGCACAACCTTGAGGCGGATGGGCTACAACAGCAGAAGACTCCACCGGGTACCACTCATCTCCACTACAAATAGGAAAAAGAGGCTACAATTTGCAAGAGCTCACCAAAATTGAACAGTTGAAGACTGGAAAAATGTTGCCTGGTCTGATGAGTCTCGATTTCTGTTGAGACATTCAGATGTTAGAGTCAGAATTTGGCGTAAACAGAATGAGAACATGGAACCATCATGCCTTGTTACCACTGTGCAGGCTGGTGGTGTTGGTGTAATGGTGTGGGGGATGTTTTCCTGGCACACTTTAGGCCCCTTAGTGCCAATTGGGCATCGTTTAAATGCCACGGCCTACCTGAGCATTGTTTCTGACCATGTCCATCCCTTTATGGCCACCATGTACCCATCCTCTGATGGCTACTTTCACCATGTCACAAAGCTCTAATCATATTTTATATATTAAAAGGTTAGTTCAACCAAAAAATACAATTTTGTCATCAATTAGGCTACTCACCCTCATGTCGTTCCAAGCCCATAAGACTTTTGTTCATCTTCGGAACACAGAGATATTTTTAATGAAATCTAAGAGATTTCTGTCCCTCCATTTAAAGTCTATTGAACCAAAACTGATATTTCAAAACGTTCATAAACTGTTTGATTCATATGGATATATTTTACAATCTGTCTAAGCCAAGCGTGCCGCACAAGCCCTGAAAAGTGATGCCAAAACGTCTCGATCGCCCCCCCGGTGGCCGGTCCTAGTATAGGTCATAAACCCCGCCTCCCCATGTTATTCAACGGCAAGTGAACAACTTAAATTACACTTCAAATATCGTTTTTCCAAATATGGTTTCTGTCATTTATTGTAGTTTTTATCACGCTGATTTAATTTCAAGTGTTTGTTTTTAAAATAAGTTTGTTTGTTTGTAACAGTTTTAACTCTGTTACCTTAGCGGTTATATTTCTCCACTCCATTAGGGGGCGTTAATCATCTTCATAGATGAGTATTTAACCAGGTACTATACCTGAAGAAGTAGGCAAGGATGTGGATAGAGGAAGCAATGGCTTTCTTGGGCTATTCCGTTTGACTTTATAAGGTCCTATGATTGAGGAATGTGTTTCCTTTTTGGTCAATCAGTAAGTAGTATGTTTTTTTTTACAAACCTTACCAAAACCAGAGTGTACATGTATTTAATGTATAAAGATGATATTGAAGGTATTGAATGCATTGGCCTATTCATGCTAATTGTGACCGTGTTGTCTATTTAGATGGACCTTTTTATTCCGGTGCTTTCTTGTATGGGTGAAAGTATTTGCTTCACCTAACTTTCTGCTTGGTGGTTTGGTGCCTGGATTATGACGCTTGGACGTTTAATGTGTGCACTAGAGGGTTTGGATTGCACTTGTGGAAGACAGGAAGACACCTTTTCTATCTACAACCTTGGGATTATCAAATTAACAGTACTGACTTTTGCAAGGACATTTCCTCCATTACCAAGCCTTGTCGACTCCACCATAAGAAAAGTGAATCATTCACTTTTCCAGTGCAGATTCCCTTAACGCTTAACTTTTCTTGTGTGATGATTGGTGTACCTGGTGTTTTACTGTGTTCTACCTTGTTTATTATTGGTTTTTGTTTTGTTTTTGTATGATGTAAACCTTTGAGATTTTGGGTTGGTGAATACATTATAAGCGTAAAGCTTGTGTCTGATTCTTCCGGAATATAGCTGTGTAAACTAGTTTTTTCATCTATACCTAAGACAATATTAAGTCTTACCATTCCTACTCTGATATATAACTTAAGCCCAAAAGGGGTAACGGTTATATAAATGGCGCCCGAACAGGGACTGGGAAGGCTTTAAGGTACTTGTTTGCTATTGATTGGTTTCAATTAAATCATGTCTGATTCAAAGGCTTTCGAAGGGGATGTTCCTGTACCCGACCCAGACTTTTCAACATCATCGTTTAGAGCACACCGAGAGCCATTAAAGGAGCTGATCAATACTTTTAGCGATTTATATATGTCAGATGAGGAAGATGGAGCTGGTGTGGAAGACCCTGATGAAGTTTTTCCACCACCACCTCATCCACCCCCAGAGGTCTATGAAGATCCTGAGACTACAGAACCAGAGTCTAAATCAACCATAAATAATGAGATTAGCAATCGCCTTGATTCTCTGGAAAAACATGTCAGCAACCTTCGACAACAGGTGGGAGAACGAATGTCCGTACAGGATTGTGAGGAACGGTTTAGATCCACTGAAGAAAAAGTGTCATATCATGTTGAATGTGGAAGGGTGAAAAAATACCTAGAGCTGCTTGTGAAAGATCTGGGTGAATCTATGGTAGATTGTCTAAGGCGGCGAGACAAGCAGATAGATCGTAAACTGCAGATGTACCATCCAACAAGTTCAACCCCTCAGGTATCCATGAGTAGACCTGTTATACACAAGCCTGCCAAGGACATTCATTCTCATACCTACTGTACCGCTGACAGTATGTCAGGAAGCCAGTTTAATCCGCCTGTCAAGCTTAAATTCCCTAAGTTCAGCAATCACCCAGAGGAAGACCCACTTGCCTTTATTGAACGTTGTGAGGAGTTTTTTGCTGTCCGCCCATTAACAGATGAAGAAACAATAGCAGCCCTTACTGCTGTTTTGAGTCACACAGCCAAAGATTGGTGGACTGCGGAGAAGAAAAGGGTCCGTGATTGGCAGCAGTTTAAAGAGTCTTTTCTTCAAGCCTTCTTAAATGAAGATTATGAAGTAGTGGCCATGAGAAAGCTCATGGAAAGGAGGCAAGGGGTAAATGAAAGTTTTAGGGACTTCTACGCTTTCCATTACCGGGCATTGTGTTTAAGGTGGAAAAAGGGAATGGCTGAAAAGGAGATGATTCAGGCCATATTGAGGAACTGCAACCCTCGGCTTGCCAGTCTTTTAAGAGGGAACCTGCAGTCAGTCCACGAACTGGTTCGGGTTGGAATGCAAGTTGAAAGAGACATTAGTGAGTCGAAGAAGTACTGGAACATGATGAACGCTGATGAGCAGTGGAAGAAGGATGTCGGGAGTCAGGAGTCACAAAGAAGAAACGCTCCATCCTATACTCGAGTTGTGCAAAACATTAAAGAGGATTTGCAGCCTAATCCCAGAAACCTCACCATCCCGCTTAACATTCAAGGTAAACGTATAGCTG